CTAATGCCACATGTGCAAGTGTGTTTATGAGATCTATGCCCTGCCTACTTCCAAAGCCATTTTACAAATAAACATAGGATGAGGACCCTCAGATCAAAGCAGAGACCAGAATTGATTTCTAGCAAATTGGAAGGAATCAATTACAATACCTTGGCAGGACCTTTGATTTCTATTTTTTATCAACAGAGGCCAAAAGAAAAACACAGGGACACATGGTTTTGCTATCAGCCCTAAAAAGCAAACAAACTCACCTATAGAAAAAAACAAAACCTGCGCTGGCTGAGCACATTCCTGGGGCCGGACCGTACCCCCACAGCCCGCACCACTGCGCCCCTGTGTTCCAAGTAAACAACGTGCAGTTGAAGGCCCAAGGCAGCCAGAAAAAGCTAGTTTTAAAATAAGGTAAAAAGGGACCGGGGGCTAGGCTCTCTGGGGCTTCCAAACATGTTTATGGCTTTTCTCTGCAAAGAGCAGACTTGAGAAAGGTCTTTGTTGCCACAGAGAAAGCGGTACGGATGATCGCCCATCCCCAGCTCTATTCTACTGACCGTTTCTGACCGAAACACCTGCATAAGACAGGTGGGCAGAACTCCAAAAGGCCAGTTAGAGAACATCAAGGGTCCGCTTTTATATAGACATTGTAAATGCACACAAGTCCAGACCCATCCGAGGCTACTAACGTTAGTGGATTACTCATTCTTCCTCCCAGTCACGTCATGTGTGAGGCTCCAGGTGGCTGTGGGGTATTTGCTTACGACGGCTACCTCTGGTTTCCCTGAGAGCTGTTTATTTTTCCAGGCCTCAGGTCATTACATCACCCCGCGGTTTCTGGGCAGGCTGAGAGTGCTGGTTTGGGGGTAGGGGAATCAGCCAGGAGGTGTCGTTGCCTCAGTGACCCCCAAGCCCAATCATAGCAGCGGTTCTCCAGGCAGGCACTTCCTGGCTGAAGGAGAAATGATCCAAATGCAGTCAAAGGGGCCCAAAGCAGGCCTGGAGGAGCGGTGCTCTTAATATGGGCAGATCAGGGCAGGATGCTGCAGACAGCTGTGCTGTGCCATGGGTGGGGAGTTAGGCAAACTCACTCACGTACAAAGGAGAGGGCAGCCATTTTTCAGGCAGAACTTATAAGAAATGCATTTCTACCTGTGTCCCCATTGATGGCTGTGTCTGGGAATAGTCACCAGAAGCTGCTGCACAGGTTTGCTGGGCAAAGAGGCAGGAAGGAAAGATAGGGTCTCTTTCGATTCAACCAGAGGGCTAGCTTCCCAGGCCTTCTTGAGGTCCCAGATTAGATCATGAAAGAAGTTAACTAGAAAAGATGGAGATAAAGGAGAGAACGAGATGGAGAAAGAGAAGGCAAATGACACCACCTGAGGCTGCAGGCCTCAGCCGCTGGGTCTGGGACCAAGGGAAGAGGCCTCCGTGCCTTGAGGGGATCAATGTGCTGCTGGAGGGAAGGGTGCCGGCTGGCAGGACCGCGCTTCCTGAGGGAGAGAGTCCTTTCCCAGAGGAGAGAACAGACTTTGTCATACACAGGAAGAAGGAGAAGGAGAAGAAAGAAAAGACTCTTATAAATCACAGCCAAAGGCGAGAGTCCACGAACAGTAAAATTAGAAGCAGTGGGACATCGGATGAAGAATGAGGTGAAGCCTAGTTTTTGTCATTTCTTTAATCTCTCCACTCTCCTCTATAAAATGTAAGTGACTTTTAAATATTGTTTTAATTCTAGCTATATTAAGAAATTCTGCCCTGGCTGGTGTGGCTCAGTGGGTTGAGTGCTGGCCTACAAACCAAAGGGTCACTGGTTTGATTCCCAGTCAGGGCACATACCTGGGTTGTGGGCCAGTTCCCCAGTAGGGAGCACATGAGAGGCAATCACATACTGATGTTTCCCTCCCTTTCTTTCTCCCTCCTGTATAACCTCTCTTAAAATAAAATAAATAAAACTTAAAAAAAAAAGAAATTCCTTGGTAGCAAACCCCCAAAACAAAAAACTCAGCAAGAGTTCATACTGTCTCAAAAGCAGAACAGAGTCTCTGGCCGACACTCACGCGTGGGAAGATGCCCACTCTCGAGTTCTAGGTGTTAGCTGACCAGGTGTGTGGGCTTCCTAAATGCAAGAACTGCCGGTCTAAGAATCAGGGAGAAGTCCAGTGAGGCGAACTTGTCAATGCTGAACCTACCAAGTACTCAAAAGGCGACGCTGACCATGGTGAACACATGACGAAGCCTTAAAAATAAGGACCAAAACTTCCAGGAGCAGCGAAGGAGACAGGATCAGCCTGCAGGCATCCGTGTCGTGTTGTTGCAAAACTTCAGCTACCCAGTGGAACCTCTCCAACGTCAACAGTCCCCAGGCCAGAAAACAAACCTGGCGTCACTGGGTCTGAGTGTGAAAGAAGGACGCTTGGGGCGTAAAAGAAACTGGGATGGCTTCTCTGCCTCTGAGACAGAGAGTGAGAAGAAGAGCTCTCAACAAGTCGGCTCCGAGTCCCAGAATTTTTCGGCACTCTAATGGGAAACTGTCTCAGGGGCTGGACCCAGAAGTTCTGGTCCATGCCAGAGCCGGCTGCCCAGACACGAGCTATCCTTAAAGTGTGTCTGACTTCTCCTCAGACCAAGGGCGATCATCTGAAAAGTGGTTAACACCATAGGTAAAGATACTTCATCAAGAGTAGCTATAGCTTTGATATCTCCCCCAACACCCTGTGCTTTCCACTACCCTCACAGACAGAGCTGGGGCCAACCTGGGACAATGAAACATGGCTGGGCCACTCTAACAAAAGAAGGTGCTTGTACCTGCCTGGAAATCATTTCTCAATGTGACCTCATACTCATCCAACTGGAAACTGTATAGGAGTAGGAACGGAAAGCAGAGCTGAGTGGAAGCAACAGCATCAGCTAACTGGACATTGCCACTACACCACATGCAGAGGCTACAACTCAAGAAGACCAGCGCTCTGTTCTCAAGGATCACAAGTGGTTTTCTCCAGCCCCACCATTTAATAGCTGTGACTCAGGACAAGTTAGTTCCTCTCTCTGTGCCACTGACTCTTTGTCTGTAAGATGGGGACAATAACAACACATTTCATAGGGCAACGGTAAAGCTCAAAGGAGGTGGCACATGTGAAGTTCTCCAGGACCTGACTTGGATAAGCTGTGATGACAGCTATGATCCTGATTTTACCGAGGAGGACAATTTCTCCTCCGCCATCTTTCCCCAGGGCAGTCAAACACCGAGGGCTAGATTCTAGAGTAGACAGACAGCCAGTAAAGCCCTTGTCCTCACATAGTTTCTAATCCAGGAAGAAAAATTCACCACTTGGGAATAAAAATGAAGCAGGAAGCAATTGCTAAATGTCAAACGAGTGTTCCAGGCAAGAGGTGTATATAATTTCAGAGACAGCCACCTTCACATCAACCACTTAGTCACAGAAGCAAGCTGTGTGCTGACTGGGCTTTGCAGATCTGCAGGAGGCTCAGGGCCTGGGGACACCACTTGCAGATGTCACTTCCAGGCACCACAAGCACCAGAACCATTTCTCTTTGACTTACGATATTTGCCTGACCATGAGGGGGAGGTGAAGAAGATTCTAAGTATTGTAGCAGCTTCCTAATAGATGCTTTCACCTCAGGTGACAATCACAAATTCTCTCCTGATTGAAGAATTCTCACTACAAGCATCATCATTAATCTTCCCATTTTTTCCCTACCAATAATGATGATAATAACAAATACATGTACTTAAAATTCATCATGCACTTACTATTTATCACTTAGTCAGGCATCAGTTAAGTATCACACAGACATGAACTCAGTTAACCTTTAACCACAGTCCTGTGAGAGAGGGATCATGATCCCAGATGAGAACTGAGGCTCAGGGGGATTATTTACTTGGCTGGGTCACTCACTAAGCATTGGAGCCAAAAAGCGAACCCAGATTTCACTAATTCCAGAGCCTAGGCTTTAACCACAGCCCTGTTTTATCAAAGAATTTGACCCAGGGGAGTTCACATGGTCTCCTTCCCATGCACCACCCCGCAGCTCCTCCGGCTTTTATCAAACAGGGAACCAGACACGTGCTGAGGTACTGGTCCACCCAAGTAACAGAGGTATCAACCGATGCTTCACGGGTTCACCTTGTAGTCTAACTCACTCCAGGCATGCTAATCCCCACACTACCTACCGCTTTTGGGACAGAGCTAAAGGGCCAAGGACAACACACTCATGACTTGCTGGCCATGTAAAACTCTGTCTGCCACTTGAAAGGGGTGTATCTTTTGTTTTCTAATCCTTACTGTCTACAAGGAAAAGATGATATGTCTGAATTCAACTACTAGGTGCGAATTATGCCTGGTGGCATTTCTCACAACAAAGCCTCAGGCAGAAAGAAGAATGATTTCCCCCTAATAGAACTACAGGTTGGGTCTATTAATACATTTTTTGTTGGTGAACATATGGTGTTTATTGATGGTAAATAAATTGTATTGACTTTGGTCTTCACTGATGGTAAATGAACCCTACAAATCTAACCATTCTTCAAAAATTATCACCTTTCTACAAGGGGTTCAGCCAGTACTAAAACCTGACCACTCACAAGATCCTCAAAAGATCAGACTAGAAAAGGTGTGACACTGAGCATCTATTTAGAGCCTTAAAAACACACACCACCATGGCTCTTGAGGCTTGAAGACCAACTGCTCTATGCCCAACCATTCTTCTTACAAATATAGAAAGTCAGTTAAAAATACTAAAACAGAGCCAAAAGGGTTTTTTTTTAGCTGAAAGTGTCAACTACTCATGAAAGATGATCCCTGAGATAATAATTCAAGACAATTAAAATTGGAAGGGATTAACTCACTTAATCTCATTCTACAGCTGTAGAAACTGAAGGCCCAGACAAGTTAAAAAACTTGCATAAGCCCACACTGTAGGTAGTCATAGGGTAACCATAGGCAACCATGATCAGGTAAGTACATAATCCAAGGCAGGTTACTTACCTGAATTTCTTACATTGGTGTTGTTCAGTTTGGAGTCCTTGATTACCAAGTGCTTAATCCATAGAGTGGGAGCTGTGATTTCTGGAAAAAGAGAGAGAGAGAATATAAAGTCTGAGCACAGAGAGCATAGACATTGGAGTGTAACCCTCAGACGTTTTAATGGCTTTTTTAAAGCCTGAGGCATCAGGGCCTGACTGTCTACCTCACCTCCATTTTGCCCCCAAACCTCTCCCTCCCTCACAATGGAAGGTCCTCTCCCTATCAGTTTGTAGGAGCCAACCAGGGTCTCTTATTCTGGGAGGGAGAGTGGTCAGAGTCCAGAAGCGCTGAGCCACTCCATCCAGGAATAAAAATATTATCCCAGGAGGTGAGGAACATGGGCCAAGCCAAGTCTCTCTCAGCTGCTTCCCTGGAAGAATTTAAAGGGGATGAATCAACAAATGAATGCCAAAGAAACCACAAAGACCATTTTGGAGGAAACGGTTGGGCCACAACAGATTTTAGGTGCTGAGACTCTGCTGCATGTGGGAAAGAGAGTAAGGGCTCTGCTGTGCGCTTCAACGCCCTCTCCAACGGTTTCTCATTGAACAGGGGCTGACCTCCACTCAGAGAGCACTGGGGTGCTCCTGGCCCCCCAGGGCTTGGGTCACCCAGTGGACAAGTAGTATGGGAATCCAGGACAACCCCAAACATACTGTAGAGTAACGAGATCTTCAGTGGGGGTATTGGGGAAGTCTCCCAAACTGGTGTGGTTTCCATTCCCCTCCCAACTCCTTCCCCTATCCAGGGCCCCAGACTTTCCAATGATGAAGGACCTTTGTGGATCATAGAAGCAGGTAAACTTCTAGGCATGAGCACACATATGTCCCACTAAATGGTCAGTTACAAAGGATAGCTCACATTTCAATTTCTCTACATACAGCTGAGACTGTGCTAGGGACTCTCTAGCCACAGTACTAAGTAGTGGCATGATTTCTTTTTATCCCTCTGTGTCATTGTCCAGTCTCATGATCAGCCTGGATACCCTTGGCTAAAAGCTGCTGAAAGGGTGCTGTATATTGCACCAAGAGCTGAACCTGGTTGTCAGACTTGGCTGTGTGCCAAGCTTCCTGCTCCTCCTCATGGGAGCCTGGAGTACTTAGCAAAGCACCCTAAAGAACACAGGCCCTGAGCACCTCAAACTGAAACCAAGGCCAGCCTCTGTACCCCTAACTTTTCCTGAACATTCCTGATCCCCTGGGGGTATCCAGTCTCTATTTTGCCACCAGCCACCACTATTTCTCTTCACCTAGAATGCCTCCTTTCCCAGATGTCTTAACTCAACTCTCAAGGTCCCTATGACCTAACCAAACCAGTTCCACTAACCTGTCTCTTGCCTGCTACTCTCCTTACTACCCCTGCCCATCCCCACAATATCTGCCCCCCACAACCAGTGCCAGTCCCCCTGCTTGAAATGCCCTAATTCTCCCTCCCCACTCTCAAGGTTAGGCTCAAATCCCACCCACCTCCTCATGGAATCTTTCCCCAGACCATGGTGATCTCTTTCTTCCATCAATTTCTACAACAATAACAATTGCGACCATATAATTTAGCACATAAAGCTCTCCAGGGGTTGCTGCTGTCTTTAGAGTAAGGGTTTTATCTTGTCTATTTCTCCATCACCGCCCAGAGGCCTAGCGCAAAGCCGGGCGCAGAGCAGCAGCGTCTACGTGCTGGCTCGTTCACCAGAGGGACGATGCCAGCCTGACTGTCTCTCTCGGCCGGCCGCGGCTCCTCAGCCCAGGCTGTGTTATTGCTGGACGGCCGCAGCCCGGCAGGAAGCCTGGCAAGGACAGAGGGCCTTTCCAGAAGTGGAGAGTGTACCAGTTCCTGGGAGGGTTTGCATTTTTTAAAAGGTTAAAACAACCCAGCTTAAACTGAAAGAAATTAAAATTTAAAAGGAGAAAATAATACTAATAAAGCTTAAACAAACATCCGAAGGAAAGACCTACCTCTCCCAAATCTGAACACGGGTGGGGGAGTGTGAGTCGGAAGTAACACCAGAGCTTACCGTCCCCGTCGAACACCGGCTGCGTCTCCATCGTGGGTGTCGGCTTGGACCCGTCATCTGAGTTGAGGGTTAAAAAGAAGCGAAAAGAGACTACCATTATTGAGGTAAATACTATCTACTCTCCAGCACTGTTGAATGGTTTGGGTTTGTACATGGCCCGGCCAAGTCCCAATGAAGAGACCAAGGAGGAAGAAGAGAAAGAAGAAAAGAACGAGAAGGAAGAGAGAGCCACAGAGAGACACCAACAGTAAGACAAATCCAGGTGTGTGCTCACCCGCTCGAGGGAGGGGCTGGGGGAGCGAGGCTGTGATGGCTTTGGAGGACCCTACCCCACCGATCTGAGTTCCTCGGTCCTCCCCACAAGAGAGCTGGGACGACTGTCTTCCCCAGCAGCCCTGAATTTGGGCCACACGTGATAAGGATGTCATACCCTGTAGCATCAAATTCTGGTGTCCCCAGTTTCTCCCTGACCTCTTTTGAATGGTAGCAGCCCAGTACCTTCCAGGCGTCCTCATTAAAGAGCTTAAGGAACACAAGAGACTGTGGTGCTGTTCCCTCCCAGACTTCCAGCTACCCCTCCATGGGGAAGACAGTCCATAATGTTGTGTATGGTGTCAGGTGGGGGAACTAGGCTGATCAGAGCAGCCACTTTGCCAGTTACAGCAACGTCTGTGCACTATGTTGTAAACCCAAAACAGATATAATGTTGTGTGTCAACTGTAATGGAAAAATTAAAATGGGTAATTAAATAAAATTTTTAAATTAAAAAGAAGAGAAGGCAGGAAGGGCCATTCTCTCTCCAGCATGCTAAACCAAAGAGATCGGGAACCCTGGGACACAGCATGTACACCAGTCCCCTGTGAGAGGGGAGGGCACACAACACGAGAGGCCCTGGGAAACTGCACCCTGGGTTTGCTTTCAAACGTCTAACACAGACGACAGAAGCAGGGAGTTCGCGGTCCTAACACAGCGCTAACACTCCTCGTCCTTGCGGTGTCTGCAGCTCTCTCTGCAACGCGAGAACCTCTGCAGGTCAGGAGTAGCACAGACTCGCTTCACCTTTCAGGACTCAGTTATTTTCATCAAAATAAAACCTTAGTTTACAGCAGTCTTTTTCCATTTTTTTCATTATTGCCTACTTAAGAAGCATTTTTTGACATTTTTCTCCTAATCTCCATTTTTCTCCTAATCTCCATTTTTTCCTAATAAAACAGATACCTTTTATGTGTACTGTGTGTACTGTGTATATACCTGTGCTTTATATGTAAACAGAGCATGCTCCGCCCCCCCGCCACAACGAATGTTTGCCTCCTTGGTGAAAGCTGGGAGCAGGTATCTCTGCCCTCAGGGAGAAGGCACAGTTTAGAGAATTCTGTTTCTTCCTTCAATGTGGGGAGAGAAGAAGGGCCCTGTGGTCTCAGGCATTTTTAGGATTCCACCATCTCTCTCTTCCCAAGACCCCCAGCAGTCTTTTAGAACTGAACACTTTATTCTCCAAGTATCAGCTATTTATGGAGAATGCAAGTTCTCAGACACTCTCTGCAAAGCCAGTCAGATCATCAATAATAACAACCGTGCACCACTTGGAACTCCCAGAACCTTTGGCTGACTTCCCTGAGTCTTCTTGAGAGAGCAAAAAAGAACGTAGCGTCCTGATCCCTTTCTTACACACCAACACCCGATGCTTGAGATCTTAAGATCGGAGAGCTCTGCAGACGCTACCCCTTGCTGGAGGCTGAGGCCAGCACGCCGACAGTCGTGTGACACCTGACCCTGCTAATGTTCTCCTGCGCTGACACCACGACCAAACTCCCATAGGGGCCAAGGCGATGCTGAACTACCGGACAATCATCCCAAGGGATAAGATGTAGCAGGAAGAGAAGAGTAACTAACCGTGCTGGATACCTTATTTGCCTCAAACTGGAGTCCAGAATAGACACCTTTGATGCCAAACTGGATAAATTTGGTCTGGAAGTCACTGGGGGAGGATAAACACGGAGCAAAGCCACACAATGTCATTTTCTAATAGCATCACTTCCCCTGACCTCTTTCCATTGAATTCAAGGAGCCACTGAATGAAGTCTTTTGGCAGCTGCAATACACATTTGGTTGCTCCTGCTGGATGCAGAGTTCGGGGGCTAAGTAGCCCAGCACAGTGTGCTCAGCCGCTCTGCACAGGGTGGAGGGGAGCCTTAAGGGTAACAAAGGGAAGGTGAGAAATCAGGCATTGCCAGAGAGACAACCCTGGGTGAGAACCCAAGTGGAAAATGGCTTATGTAAGATTTTAATACTCAGTTAAGATCCTCCCATATTCCAAGAGCTGTTTCTCTATAGAGCAGGACAACAGAACACATTCTGTTTGGTCCTCCCATCATCCAGATGAGCGCCTGGGACTGCACGTCTGGTCCAACAGTCAGAAATACCGACTGCTGCTGGGGGAGAGGAAGAAGAGCTTTCAACCCGCTGGGGAAGTTTTGTGCGTGTGCAGGTTGAGGACCTCCTCGATTGCTCAGATGCAGGCCCAGAGCCCACAGAACATGAAGCCGCATGCGGGGAGTGAACCCAATCTTCCTGCAGGGCAGGGTCACTGAGGGTGAACAGATACAGCTGTGCTGCCGCAGGGAGGCCCTAGATGGAAATCTTTATGAAGTGAGAAAAGACAAGGTGCCCTGCTGCCAGGAGAGCCACCTGTGAAATCCAGTGTGCCCAAAGGATGGGAAACCAAGCCAAAGCCAACAGGACCCTCTGACCATCATCTCCGGGCACCTGGGCACCTGGCTTCCAACTCAGCAAACAAGCACTCCCTTCCACCAAATAGGTCCAAGGCCTGGGTCCAAGGTCCACATCAGTTCCGCCTCCTGGCAAGCCTTGGGGCAACACCAGGCCCCACACTGGGCACTGGGGAGAGAGAAAAGCTTCCACGTGTGCTTTTGGCCTCCCAGTCTCCAATGGGGTCACACTCCAGATCCAGGCAATAAGTTGGTAACCCGATCCCCTCACTTTTCTCCTCTGGGAGGAGAAAAAGGAAGGTTGCCTGTCCCCCCAGCCTCAGGACAATGTGTAGGAGAAAAAGACTTTAAAGGCCTTTCAAAGGAGGTATAATAGTACTAAAACATCTTTTCTTCCAGGTTACTGTTAAAATTGAATTTGCAAAATTAAAATCCTACCAAAGTCTTTGAGTTAAAAAATAAAGTGATCTTACAACTCAATAAGAAGACGAACAACCTGATTTTAAAATGGGAAAAACATTTTAACGGACATTTCATCAAAGAAGGGTACTAAATATAATACATGAAAAGATGCTCCAAGTCATTAGTTATTAGGAAAATGCAAATTAAAACCACAATGAGATACCACTACACACCTACTAGAATGGCTAAAATTTTTTCAGTTGACAATACTGAGTGTTGGTGTGGATGTGGAAAAACTAAAACCCATGTTCATTGCTGATGGGAAGGTAACCACCTTGGAAAAGAGTGGCAATTACTTTAAAAGCTTAAACATAAACTTACCACTCAACCCAGAAATTCCACTCCTGAAAATCTATCCAAAAAAACTAAAAACATGTCCACCTAAAGGCATGTTTACAAATCTTCACAGCAGCGTTATTTCCAGCTCAAACTGGTAACAAGTGTTTGTCGACTGGTTAACAGATAAACAGATTGTGATATCTCTGTATAAAGAAATATTATTCGGTAGTTGGGAGGGATGAAATATTAATACATGTGGCAATGTAGATGGAACTCAAAAACATTATACTAAATGAAAGCAACCATGGCAAATTACTATATATTGTATGAGTCCATGTACATGAAATGCCTAGTAAAGATAAATCTCTAGAGACAACACAGATCCGTGGTTGCCTGGGGCTGGGAGCGGGAGTGCGGTTTACCTCTAAATGGGTACAAGATTTCTTTTGGGGGTTATGGAATTGCTCTCTGGTAGCGGCTGCACAACTCCAGAAATGTACTGAACTCATTGAATTGTACACTGACGGTGAGTACTGGTAAACTTGTGGTATGTGAGTATACTTCCACAAAGCTGTCAAAACAAAAGGGGAGGAGAGTCAAAGTCATCACAGAGAAACCACCAGGCAGCAGCCGCTGGACGATCTGAGCGATTCTTGATTTGGGGGGAGACTCTTCGTGTATTTTAAAGAAAAATACATCTGAACCTCATTTGCATACATGCACATGATAATTTGATGCCTGGCATTCATTCTTGACGATCCTTTTGGACCTCAACTAATATGACTTTATTTCTCTTTCATATGCCCACCACAACACGCTTCTAGTCTAGGCTGAGGTGAAGTGGATGAAACACTGGAAAAAAGCCAATTCAAAATTTACACTTTTCTTCCAGGGAGAAAAAAGTACATTTGGAAACATAAATAAATAAGGCACACTTGAAAGAATTTCTGAAGGACGATGTCAAGATCAACAACAACAATAATATTACCACATTCGGCAACGAAGTTTCTGGCAGGTGGCTTTGCTCATCTATTCTCACCACCGTGCAGGGCGGAGGAAGTCACCAAACCGGTAAAAAGAGACGGAGCCTCAGTAAGAAAGTGATTGGCTCAAGGCCCCAGAGGCAGTGAGCAGCCTTGGAAACTGCCCAGGCCCAGAGCCATGGCGTGTGGCCTCCCCACGTTCCCCACCCCCAACTCGCCGCCCTGCAGGTGCCGCCCCAGAATGCTGCAGCCCCCGCACAGGCTCTGGGAGCCTGCACAGACAGCGGGTTTGTGTGACAGCACAACCCCTTGCCCTGCGAGAAGGCCTGGCCCACGCACAGACAGCTGGAAGTCACTTCGACCCCCGATGACACCGTTCAAAGCCTCCTCTGTTTGGCTTTTTGATTCCTGATTGACGTTAGCTGGCGAGTGGAGATAAATGCTGGGCTGAGGACAATGTTGATCCGCTCTGACTATTCTCGGAAAAAGACTTTTCAGAATAACAAACAAAACAAAACAAAACCCAAAAACATTGGTGTGCTTTAGGGACTGAATAGAGCCCAAGAGGTCCAGGGAAGCAGGGCCGGGCCTTTCAAGGGTCTGGCAAGTCCATTGAGGAGTTAATTGTTTGGGTGTA